AGAAGAAGAAGGAGGAGGAGGAGGAGAGAGAGAGAAGAGGAAGGGAGAGAGAGAGAGGGGGGGGGAGGAGAGAGATAGAGATAGAGGGAGACGGACAGACTGACACACAGACAGACAGACAGACAGACATACAGAGACTGAGACTGGCAGAGAGAGAGAGAGAGAGAGAGGGGGGGGGTGGGCAGAGTGCGAGAACATAATTATTAGAACTCAGTAGGGGATACGTCAGTCGCAATGCCCCTTCTTTTCAGTTTTAACCAGATCTTTTTTGTGTGTTCCGATTTGTTTGTCAATCCTACTGGTGTCATAAAGTGCTCTTCTCCCACACTGGTAACACATTATGTAACATACTGCCGGACGCACGATCAATAGACCGTAGACCATGTGACCGTGGAAAAGACAGGAAGTAGACCACAGTATTTTTGTTTCTGTGACGCGTCTTTTTTTCCCTTCTATAATTTTCATGTGGTTTCAGGTAACAGGATTAGATTACAGACACTGATGTTGGCGATCTAGTGGTAAGGTTACCGGAACCATTATCACGAGATTACAGGTTCAGGAATTGGAGGCACAGCTCACTCTGACGAACGTTGTGTCCTTGGGAAAGGAACTTTACAAGAATTTTCCTGTTTGGCTTGGTCGTATTGGACATTAATGTTAAATTCGGAGGTCCCGTCTCTTAAATGACTTTACAGTGTTACAAGGAACGTTAAAACTACACAACTTCGGATGAAAACAACAACCAAAGACACATCTATACCATAGCATATTTGTAGGACATCCCCAGAATGTCTCCATGTGTGAATGGGACTGTTAGCGAAATGGTAATGTCTTTTTCTTTTTTTTTTTCAGAACATTCTTCCCGAAGTTGAATTTAAAGACGTCATGAAAAGTGATGTTGGATTGTACAAGTGAGTGGTATCTTCCCCTCTGTTTTGGCCTATACGGAGCTTATAAGCCGCCAACTTAGAAAGATAATAATTAGGCGCTCACTATCAATATAATTCACCGAAAAAAAGATGGAGAATTGGCCTTTACAAATCCTACACAAATACTTTTAAAAAAAAGTGTGGATCAAGAAATTTTCAAAATTATTCATGTTGGTTTAAAAAAATAAAATAAAGCACATTTCCCTACAGAGATCAACAGAAGTGGAGTCACATTATTAAATCTTATTTCCTTTTCTGTTGTGATCGTCTCTACAGATGGCTGCGAGAGCTCAGCGACCACGGAATCTGTGTGGTGAAAAATGTTCCCACGGAGAAAGGAACGATCGTGAAGGTAATGTTTGGAAGGAAATGTAATGTTTGGTAGGAAACGTAATGTCTGGAAGGGAAAGTAATGTCCAGTTATAGGAAATGTCTGTCTGGTGGTAAAAGTAATAGGAAATATATTGTCTAGCGGTGAGGGTAATAGGGAATGTAATGTATTGTAGTAAAGGTATTAGGAAATGTAATTTATGATGGTGGAGGTAATAGGAGTTGTTGACTCAAATGTCCGGAAGTGAAGATGATTGGAAATGTAATGTCTGGTAGAGAAAGCAATATGACATATAATGTCTGGTATTGGAGGAAAAAGGAAATGTAATGTCTGGTAGTGAAATTAATAGGAAATGTAGGTAGGGAAGGTACTTGCCACTACGAGCCAAAATTCCCCAATGGGATCAATAGAGTGGTAAAACGTATCAGCTGTTTCCCCTTTCTATAAAAATGGTACAATATATCAACTGTTTCCCCAATCAATAAGAGAGGTTCAATATATTAATTAATACATTTTAATCCTAAAGTGTTCCACCAGTCAATAAGACTGGTACAAATATTAACTAATACATTATTTTAGTTATAAAGTGTTTCCACAGTCAATAATAGTGGTACATGTATAATAATTATTTCAAATGATACATCTTAATTATATAGTGTTTCCCCAATCGTTAAGAGTGGTGTTAACAACTAATACCATTTTTGTGACTAGGTTTCAATCTGAAATATTATTATAACTCCCAAGACGTGTCATGTGGTCTGTTGTGGTCAGGAGCGGGGTCACGATAAGGTCAACATGCGCCAGTTGAGGGAGACGATGGGAGGGGGGATAATCCAGATAAATAACAATGGTCCTTAATCATAGAGAAAGATAATTCGATTGCTTCCCTTCGGACGCGGATTTTTAAACATTTTTTTTCTGGCTTTTGTTGTTAATTCTTATTTTGCCTTTGTTGCTTATTTGTGTGTTCTTTTGCTTGTCTCTATGTTTATTAATTGTTTGTTTGTTAATTTGTTTGTTTGTTAACTTGTTTGTTTGTTTATTTGTTTGTTTATTTATTTATTAATTGGGGCGGGGGGCGGGGGGGGGGGGGGGGGGTGGCTTTGCCCAACACCAAATTTGTTACTGTTTTGCTAGAAAAGGAAATCATCTTACCTCCTATTGTAGGTGTTGCTTTTTAAAATGCATGTAGAATCATTTTATATTTAAAATAACTGTTTTCTTTTCTCCAACCCCGCCCCCTCCTCTACCTTACTCCCTCTCAACTTACCCCCCCTCCCACCCACCTCTCCCAAATGTCCCAATTACTCCTCTTCCTCCTCCCTCAGGTGGCAGAAAGAATCACTCACGTCCAACGAACTATCTATGGAGAGGTTTGTGAGTTGTGTCAGTGCTGTCTCTCTCTCTCTCTCTCTCTCTCTCTCTCTCTCCCCCCCCCCTCTCTCTCTCTCTCTCTCTCTCTCTCTCTCTCTCTCTCTCTCTGTGTGTATCTGTCTGTCAGTGTCTCTGTCTCTGTCTTTCTCTCTCACTCTCACTCTCACACTCTCACTCTCTCTCTGTATCTCTCTCTCTCTCTCTCTCTCTCACTGTGTGTGTGTGTGTGTGTGTGAGTGTGTGTTTGTATGTGTGTCCATGCGCGTTTGTGTGTGTATGTGTGTATGTGATTAGTGTGTGTGTGTGTGTGTGTGTGTGTGTGTGTGTGTGTGTGTGTTTCTGAGTGTGTATGTGGATAGAGTGTGTTTATGTGAGTGAGTGTGTTTGTGAAAATCATTCTGTTTCTCACACATTCTTGTGTTGAGTGGACACGAAAGGGTACTGTGTCTTGCAATGGCATGATAACTCCTGGTTGTTGACGTAGGAACATGGATAGGAGATGGGGAAGTGGAGGAGTTGGGATGACGCAAGGGGTAGCCTAAAGGTGGTGGGTGGGGGTCGGGAGGCGTGGTGGGGGCAGGGTGTTGGGATGAGAGGTAGGGTGATGGTAGGGGGTGTACACAGTGGACCATAACAACAACGACAACAACAACAACAAAAACAGTAACAGCAAAAACAGCAGCAACAAAATCAACAATAACAACAACAAAATAACAATAACAACAGCAACAACAAAGATAACAAAAACAGTAACAGTAACACCACCACCACCAACAACAACAACAACGACGAAAAAAGATATCAAACAATCTGTTTTAATTAATTATTTAGAAACCTATAAATAGATACCCTGGAAACCTGCTTTCATGTATTTCACTTTCATGTATTCCTCTACTTGTCTCTAAACCTCACAGGACATTTCATCTAATTGTTTATCTCAACTGTACCGACAATGTCCCCAGACCTTTGACGTGGTCAGCACGCCTGACCCCATCAACCCGGCCTTCTCACAGGCGGCCTTGGCCTTCCACTCTGACCAGCCCCACTATGAGGCACCGCCCGGCATACAGATGTTACATTGTATACAGTGAGTTCACGTCACACACACGTGATATAAACGTGACGTTACACACAACTGTTACATTGTAATTGTATATCGTGAGTTCACGTGACGCAAATGTGACGCAGAATTGACACAGACGTGGCATTACATACAGATGTGACATTGTATACAGTGAGTTGACGTGACACAGACGTATGTCTAACCTAAAATGACATAAACGTGACATATACAGGCTATAACACATTGCATACATATGTTACCCTGTATACAGTAATTCATGTGACGCAGACTTGACACAGACGTGGCATTACATACAGGAAATTTACAATGTATACTGTGAGTTCACGTGACATAGACATGACATAGACATGACATTACATACAACTGTTACATTGCATGCACTGAGCTCACATAACACAGACGTGACAAAGGCGTGATGTTACATGCAAATGTTACATTGTATACAGCTTGCTCTTGAGCGGGGTTATGCGCTATACAAATGCTATTTATTATTATTAAGTCCTTCAGCAACCTGCTCAAAACTCAACAGATATCAATTCCCCCCCCCCTCCTCCATCTACCCCCGGTCAGCCATCAAAGTGCATGATACCCAGTTCTAGTCAGTGGGTCTTGGTATAATTGTCCTTTCCTCTAATGCAGGTATTGATGCTGAATTTGCTCCCAAACTAAGCAAAGACAACCCTTCATTTGATGAACTGGGAAATAGAGTGTGGGACGTCTCGGGTGTACATACAGAGCGAATAACTCAGTGTGTACCAGGGTGTGTACAGACAGTATAGCGCTGTCGTGCTACCAATCCCTTCCTATGGAGTTGAGTCCTGATCATCAGTGTACAAAAGAAATGCCATGCAACATGCTCAGGATGGCTCCATCACTCGCGTCTGAGAAGAATACTGGGGATTCACTGGAGGGATAAGATCTCAGGTGCCGGAGTTCTTGAGAAGGCTTTCGTCAGTGGGTGGTTGGCTGGGGCATGATTAAAATTTGTTTCTATCGGTCATCTATCGTCTTTATCCCCCCCCCCTTCTTTTTGTGTTTGTAATTCTCTTTTAAAACCTCTAGTTTTCGGCACTTATACACGTCGGTGTGAGCGTAGGGGTAGGGCTATGACGGAGCCCTGAGTGGGTGTGTTTATTTATTGAAAGAAACATATTATTATGTTACTATTTTTAAAAAAAATTGATATGACCTTGCATTTTCCTCACATGTTTGGTGTCTGTCGATATATAGAACTAGTTGAAGGTTCAGATTTTACCCCTTGAATAATTGCCACTGTAGCCTCAGGTTCTATCCTCACATGTTTTGGGGTGGAAGGGGGTGATGATTTTGATGTCTGTAGATAAAAAGAACAAGTTAAAGGTTCATTTGATACAAACTGAACACTGCCACTGTGGTCCCAGGTTCGATCCTCACATCGTAGGAGGAGAGAATGTGATCATCGACATGTTTGAGATGGCGGAGCAGCTAAGGGAGGAGAGACCGGACTACTTTCAGATCCTTGCGAGGGTCCCCGTCACCTTCCAGACCATGCATTACAGTAGGTGAGTCGGAGAACTACCACGGACAACGTACTGTTACGATCTGCAAACAGCAGTGAGTTGTTTATTGTTCAGTCTCTTTGTAGAAGTCTGTTGTAGTTAACTGTCCATCCTATAGATCTATATAGAATAAATAGTCTGTCGTTGTACAATCTATATATAGCAGTGTGTTGTTTACTGGCGGTATGTTGTTGGTTACTGTTTAATCTATGTATTACAGCGATGTAATGTTTACTTTACAATCTATAAAATATAGCAGTGTGTGGTTTACTGTACAATCTATCTATCTATCTATCTATCTATCTATCTATCTATCTATCTATCTATCTATCTATCTATCTATCTATCTATCTATCTATCTATCTATC